GGGCTTGACTCAGTCGACCGAAAGCGTGCACGAAAACACTGTAGAAAACAGAGATCTAGACGGTCGACCGAAGCAATACTATCGGTCGACCGATGGCGATCAACTGGTCAACCGATGCGATGCTATCGGTCGACCGAAGTCGGGTCTGGCAGTTTTCTGATTTGGATAGGAATCTGTTTTTGGGTTGTGAATATATATGTTTCTTAAAATGTTTTTAGGGTTATGTGAGGATGTCATTGAGAGAGAGGGTTTTGACGGCACTTTGAGTTCATAGATCTAAGAGAGAGAGAGAGAGAGACAATAATCAATTATCCACCGCACCTATCGAAAGGTTTGGTCGAGCTCAATGTTAGGCTCTTCATTTATTTATTTATGTACAAAGAGTAGCATTTTAGTACTCTCAAAGTACCTAGCTTTTGTCCTTACTAATGGATGTCCCCCTATATCATAGTACCCCGTTTAATTATCGCAAAATAGTTCCCTCCGTGGACCTCTCTATGCATGGTGTCAAACTTAAAACCACTTAAAAAAAAAAAACTAAGGCCACTTGTAATTTAAAATAATAATAATAATAATAATTAATACTGCTTACTTAAAAGTTGGTCACGCTCTATTCTAAAGTCTCCACAACCTCTCCCACAACTTGCTTTGGATTTGAATTTCCTTCGTTAGTTCCATATACACGGGTTTGCTTCTTTTTGTTTTGCTCAGGTAAATTATTGTTTAAATTATGGTTTCGGAGCCTAAGAGCCCATTTAGCAACTCCCCTTTAAACCTTCTTCTTCTTTCTTTTTTGGTAACCCACCCTGGAGTCGAACTCAAAACTCTTTAGTGTCATATTGAAACCTCACAACCGTCCAGAATACCCGCGGTATGTTCTTTTTAACCATTTTAGTGGAGCTAACCCGCCCTAACATAAAACCCAGCATGACAAATACCTAGACCAAGACTTAAACGGGTTTATGTTAGATAAATTTTGACTTTAAACTGTTTTTGTTTTGTTTGACCTCTCTCCGATCCAAAAATAGTTTACAGTGGAGTTGTCGAACTGTTCATCCTTTGTTTGGCAACCAATGAAAAATTGGGTCGGGATTAGCCTTGACCCGTTTTTATCCTAAACTAGGCTAAAACAAAACCAGATAAAGAGTGGTTTAACAAAGAATCGGTTTGAAGAGCTCTTTTTGGCCTACGGCAAACTAGACCAAGGTTTAAAGGATGAAAACTAGACCAAGGTTTAACCTGGTCCAGTTTTAAGGTATGGCGAAACACACGTAATCTCATGTTTAATATTAATTCTCAGTCCAAGTTGACATAAACCAGCTCATAATGACTGAATCTTATCAGAATCTGCATAGATACACACAACAACCCAAAGTTTAAGCAAACGCGCAACCTGGACCAACGAAACAAGATCTGAATCACAGCTCACCATAAATTTACGGTCACAATTTCAACGATGAAATAAATTTCTCAACAACTACCAAAAGAGATGACCCAAGCCAGCCTATCCTTCTTCAAATGTTGCGCTGACATATTTCCCATAGTAAATAAACACAGCATGTGCCAAGCTGGATCATTTCCCTGTACAAAATTCTGTCGTGTATTATATTATCTCATTGTACTTGCACCTGTCTTGTTGAAGAGTCTTCAAGCAAAGTCCACACACACGATAATTTCCTCGCACTTGTCTAGAAAATTTTTGCCGGATGACAAGTTGGGTGAGCTTTATATAGCGCAAGCCAAGGTGATGGTCATTTCAGGTCCAGACGTTGGAGTGAGATCACGTCAAAGGCCCAAGAGTATAGTCAATTGTACCGCTATACTGTTGGTTCTCTATGCGATGACGTGTAGCTTCTTGATGACTACCTAGAAATTCAAGGTTGGAACAATTGGGTGGCTCAATACTGTTTATGATTTATTTCAGTTCCTGTAAGTTCCACCTCATAAATTAGGTGTTCTTTTCACATTATAATTTTAACTCGTGCCCAATTATTTCCATCGTGTTCCTTTTTAAGTTAATCCTAGATCGACCCCATAACATCACCCAATTGAGAATGGACTCCCTCGTAGCTTCATTGTTGCAGCTTGGACCCCATGAGTTAATATTTGACCTTTTCACCCTGGTGATGGTTTCATTTATTGAAAAATTCTCTTTCTGAAGATAAATGAGTCAAAAAATTCCACTTGGGGTTCTGCCTACAACAATAAACCTGCATGGGTCTATTTACGATGGGGGCGATAATAAAGGCTATATACAGTACACGGGTATATTATAAATTAACCCATAAAAAAATGAACAGCTCCCACATCATGACTCGCATGTGGGCTAGGTGGGTGTTATACACATTTAAACAGAGAGAAGAAAAGGTCAATCACATTGAAGCAACTATATTATAGTAGATCCTAACACCTAAATTTATTGTCCGTAGTTGAAGTATGTGGTCCTCAAAAGGGGAGCATCTACAAACCCCATTACCACATCCATGAGGTGTTAGAATAAAGGTAAAGGCAATAGCTGAAAGTAACCCCATGTTGGTTTCGGGAGTGGAGAACCAAACCTGGAATCGAAAAACACAAACAACACAAAAATCATCTTATCGGTCGACCGACACAAGCTCATCGGTCGACCGATGTGAAGCCAAGAAAAACTACAGGAGTTTCGGGATGGTCGACCAACGGGCTTGACTCAGTCGACCGAAAGCGTGCACGAAAACACTGTAGAAAACAGAGATCTAGACGGTCGACCGAAGCAATACTATCGGTCGACCGATGGCGATCAACTGGTCAACCGATGCGATGCTATCGGTCGACCGAAGTCGGGTCTGGCAGTTTTCTGATTTGGATAGGAATCTGTTTTTGGGTTGTGAATATATATGTTTCTTAAAATGTTTTTAGGGTTATGTGAGGATGTCATTGAGAGAGAGGGTTTTGACGGCACTTTGAGTTCATAGATCTAAGAGAGAGAGAGAGAGAGAGAGAGAGAGAGAGACCTATTTGCGAGCATTGTAATCTTCTTCAATTAAATAAAATAATTTCTAGTGTAGCTCCCGAGGACATAGGCACGTTTGCCGAACCTCGTTAAATCTGGTATTTTCTTCTTTTGTTCGTTCTTTCCTGCAAGGTTTCTTTTATTTGCTGTGATTTCTTGCTTGCCTACTCTTGACACAAGACCCGTAAGGGCACGGATTGTCGTTTGTGTGTTCAACCCCAACACCCCATTACCACATCGATGGGATGTTAAAATAAAGTTAAAGGCAATAGCTGAAAGTATTCAGAGCAATCTCCATTTCAGATTGAAGTACAACCTCAATACACAACCAAACCCATACTCAGAAAGGGACTAATCAGTTCAAACATCACATGCTTCTTCCGGCGCATATTTTGATGCACGGGTCTCTTCTGAAGAAGTTTCAAGATACCCATTTTAGGTACTTCAATCTAAAGTTTATGCAAAGTTCAAGTCTGAAATTATTCCCTTGTGTTCTTCATGATCATTGTCAAAATTTGTGCTGACCTCACCCAGAATTAAAGATAGAATGTAACTTACGAGTTTTTGTCTAATATATCCATGATACTAGTAACAAAGTTACGGGGTTCGGTTCCCTGTAATATTTCTCAAAACAAACACGCATTATACGTTTGCGACCGAGACTCGGTTCATGTTCACTGGCAAGAATTCTAAGTGATCGCATGTCCATGATTAAGAGAAGTAGTTAAACATTCATAAGCCTAAATTCAAATTATTAAGCTATAAAATTAGATGAGAAGAAGATCTACTCTAAAACAACTTCACGGCCAAATCCTGGCTGCTGGAGTTGATACTTCAATCTGAACAGGATGAATGCTCCATGTCCTTTATCGATTTCAGAAAGAACGAACCGAACTATAACAACAAAATTGTCCTCTCCAATAAAAATGAAATTTGATATTGTTACCTACAGACGAAAAGAACGCTGGCTCCAATAGCAATGTGATCATTTCGCTAAAGAGCACCATTATTCTCGTGCTTTTATTTTCTCCCACTATCTCTGCGCACTATTCTGGATTTCTTTCGTTAGACAATCAAATGCGGTCCTCCAACTATCACTCCCATCTCCACCGTTAAATACCGCCTGCAAGATTTTCAGCTCATCTGTGCTTGCCTTCTTGAATAATCCCTCAAGCACAATTTGGATGTTATCTACTGCTTACTTTTGGTTCCTCCTCCTAAAAAATCCAGAAATATTTACACCGAACAACTTGTTAAGTGTTTTCTCCAAGGTTTTTGGACCCGCAGTGAGAGAAGATTCCTTGGAAAGTTCAATGGGAGTCTTCTTTGTTTCTATCATTTCGGATGTCAACTGTGTGTTAGACTTTGAGGTCCTCAATCACCTGTTTTGACCTCGAGTTAGTATATGTAGAAAGATGCATAGAGCACTTAAATTTGCAAGTTTTAGTAAATATTAGGTTAATTTCACAAAACCTTCCTACAGTTTATTAATAAAAGAAATCCTCTGAACTTTCAAATTTATTTTACATCCTGAACTATAGGAAATTTTCATAATTGATGTTATTTAAACTACCCTTATTCGACAAGGGTAATGTAGAAGCTCGACAGAGGGAATGTTCAAAAGTTGTCACAGGTAGAGCATGTGACGACTTTTTGTTACGAATGCAAGTCATGGTAGTTAAGCGAGACAAGTTTAGGTGGTTTTAATCAAAACCCCATATTACAGAGGGGTTCTGAAATTTATCCTAAGAAATATCATATGTTCCATCTAAGATGCCTGTACAAAGGATAATTCTAACTCAACTACCCTGTCCAAACGACTTATGCACTACGACACGCGAGAATATGGGGGTCCTTCAACGTGGATTGCCATCAAAGTTGACGAGTCATCATCAAGGACCCCGTAATCTTTCGTTTGAGAGGAGTTTGGAAACTATAGTCTAGTTATCACTACTTTTGTAAAAAAATAAGTTAAGGCTAAACTGGCGGAAACAAAGGGAAATAGACCTGCCTGAACAGTTGATGGACACAAAAGCCCAAACATTTCGAGCCCATTGATGCTCCCTGCAGGTTGCATTTGGAGAAGATCTTGCTTCCCTGGCCTTGATCGTCTAGTGATCTCTTGGTTTAGTCTCTCTCACCAAATCCCAATACTGTGTAGCAGAAGAATGTGTGAACGTTTCCTCCTGATTCTCCTCTAGAGTAACCTATAATTTACGAAGATGAAAAAAAAATTAAAACCATATGATATAACGACTATAATTAGAGGAAAATGATCATGAAACTAGCATTCAACAAAATTGTATTAAACTGTGTTAAGAGTAAGGCAACCTTAAACATAGGCCCAAGCAATCCAGCATCTAGTACTTCTGAAATGTAATTACTCATCCTTGTACGATCAAGCACGCCGAAGAACTGGACACGATTTTTGAAACCTACAGCTCAAATATAATCAACTATCTTTTTTTCTCTCAACATGTTTACTTAATTGGGAAACACAGAGAATAAAGAGAAACTAAGGTACCTTTAGGAAAAAATGGCTTCCCTACTGCACCACTGCTTCCCAAACTTCACCGTTCCAAAAAGAAGAATCTCGACAGAGAAACTGTAATTTATTTTGAACAGCTCTAGTCTCTGGACTAACTGTGTTCGATAAAAGAAACCTGAAACTGCCCTGAACATCTGAGGCTGTGGAAGGACTCTGTTGAAGCTGACGAAGTTCAATGCCGAACAACTTTGCACTAGACTTACGAATAGGTTGAGCACTTTGAGAACTTGATGCTTCGAAACCATTAGAGTTAGCTCCTTCTGCGGAATGATTTATGGAAACAGAAGATCCACACTCTGGACTTGAGGTCTCACTGGGGCATGAGTTATTCCTGTTGACTCATGTTCAATCCCATTGTTATTCAGAATTGCAGACTTGGAGTCTGTGAACAGTCCTGTATGCAGATCAATGTGCTTCGAATCTATTACATTACTCTGTTGAAAGTTCTCTCTGGTTGGTCGACTGATAAATTCTATCGGTCAACCGATATAACCCTGAGTCTTGAGTATTGTAAATTTCCTGTGGACAGTCGACCGATAGGATTTATCAGTTGACCGATCGAGGTTAGTTCTGATGCATGTTTCGTGCACTTCGGTCGACCGATGAATCCTATCGGTCGACTAATCTGGAGCGGGTGGAGTGGTTAAAAGCCAAGGCGTGGTTTATATATATATATATTAGAAGGGTGTGGCGGCTAATAATATAAGCGTTCTTAGAGTTGATTGAACACTTTGAGAGGGAGATTCTTTGGAGGTGAGTGAGATCTTGTTAGTGAGGGTTAGTTTGATTGTCTTAAGAGTTGTAACCCATTGTATTTCTCCTCCATATAGTGAAATCTCTCCATCCTCTTTCCGTGGACGTAGGTATCTTGCCGAACCACGTAATTCTCTGTGTTTGCGATTGATCTTGGTTGTTTATATTGTGGATTGTGCTCGTTGTGTTCTTTGTACATTGGTGACTGACTTGTTGTAGATTGAGTCCGCTTCCGTTGAGCGCAACATATTCTTGCTCAGCTCAAGATCAGTGTTTTCATGTTGTTGTTTGTCCAATGTCCAATAAATCATTGGAATTTGATGGATATTTACTCGGACAAATTTTGAAAAATGACCGTTTTTTAAATTTAATTAGCAAAATCGACCGTGTAATAAGAAAATGGGCAAAATCGACCCTTTTTGGTACGGGACTATTAGTCCCGTGCAAAAAGGACGCTTTTGCTAAAAGCTCATCCGATCGTAGCCTTGTGCTTGAAGACCCAATCGTAGACTAAAATCGCCATCAATGAACTCCGCCGCCGTGGATCGGAGTCTTCGAACCCATACCTAAACTATATCGCCAGACAGTCGAAATATCGTCGACCTCAACCGCCCTCGTCCAGCTTCAAGGCCAGCGTCATCAAAGGCTTGCGACTGAAACAACCGTCGAGTGAGATTCGAACGAGCAAGGGGAGACCGAGAGAAAATGTGGAGGACTGAGAATCGGAGGGGCTGAAAGGAGGAGGTAGACCGGAGCTTCGACAAGCGAGCGTCGAAACTCAGGGATGAGGCTGTTGAGGAAGAGGCAGACTTGAGGGGGATCTGGTTGTGATGGCGGCGGAAGCTTCGCTTGGGCGAAAGGGTGGTATCGTCGAGAATGAGAGAGGTAGAGCGGCAAAGGTACGAGAACAAAAGTGGTGTGCTCACAGTGGAGGCAGACGACATGGAGGAGACATCAGGTGGGAAAAAAAAAGAAAGAACCGAACTGCTTGGAGAATGGGCTATGGTTATGCGAGCGGAAGGATGCTAAGGCGCGTTGGCAAGTCGGTGAGAAGCGATGAGTGTGGAGCTATGGTTGGGGTGGCAATAGCGGATTGGGCTTAAAGGTAGGAAGCATGCGGTTAACAAGTATACGGAAACTGGAGGTTATATGGAGCGGTGGATACGATAGGTGGCAATGAGATCGAAAGGAGGGATGAACGAGGAGAGGAAGCGGAGAGAGGACGGTCGTAGGGGTTAGCGAAGCGAGGGAGGGATGGGTGAGGAACGAGAGAGAGATGAGCGGGTAGGTGGCCATGGTTATGAAGAGAGAGAGAAACGATGGAGATGAAAAGGAGAGAGAAAGATGTTGACACACTATTCCCAGTGCAAAATTTACCTTTTTTGCTCGGGACTAGTAGTCTCGTGCAAAAAAGGTAAATTTTGCCCATTTTCTTGTTACATGGTCAATTTTGTCTATTAAATTTAAAAAAGGGTCGTTTTTCAAAATTTGTCCATATTTACTCTTTAGTGCTAATACATCTTCAAGTACTTTAACATCTGAGGGCAGAACCAAACCCAAGATCCCTGAACCCCAATTTTTTTTTATGGTAAATGAAAATTTTTATTCATCCCCAATATGTAAAGTTTTTGTACATCAAGAATCTCAAGAACATGTAATTAAGATAACAAATCAAAACCTATAGCTAAAGCTCAAGACCTAGTTATAACAAAAAACCAAGAAACAGATACAAAACCTGCACACAACCAATGTGCACATAACCCCACAGAAAAGCGATTATCTGCAAGGGGGCTTCAAGCTTCAGCACCTGAATCATTATGCACAAGCATCAATAAGCTCATCTCTGCCAAACGTGCACAATGTATAACCTGAACAAAACAATATGCAGACTATAGGGATAAAATCCAGTCTTTATGTTCAGATGAGAGCTTGTTATCATTGAGGATGTTGGTCAGAATTTCCATTTTAATGCTCTTGATTAGCTACTCAGTATTATGGCTTCTTTGATTAAAAATTCTATCATTTCTTTCTCTCCAAATACAATAAATTGCAGCTGAAAATGCCATTCTCTTGGTTTTTTGTTTAAAACCTTTCCCCTTCAACCTGTAATTGAACCAATTAACCAGCAGCTCCCATTCACATGTCCTCCAATTAAAGTTAAACCATTCCATAATCCCATTCCAGACATCCTTAGAATACTGACATCTGAAAAATAAGTGATTATGATCCTCTGATTCAGCCCCAGAGCATAAACAACATTTGTTAATCTGAATTATACCCCTCCTTTGCAGTTTATCCTGAGTAAGTAGCCTGTCCTGAATTGTGAGCCATAGTATAAAAGAATGCTTAGGGTAGTTAAGTTTCTCCCAGACTGTTTCAAACCAAGGCACTTGAGTTGTTACTGGACATAGGCAATGATACAAATTTGATAAATGGACTTTAGGCTCCTTGTAGCATGAATTAATCTTTTGCTTCAGGTTCTCAACACCTCCACATGATGTTATCATTTTATCTCTGAAGCCCAATTTTTCACAGAACCTAAGTCCCCTTGCAGAGCTCTCACAACAGTGTTTTCGTTGAAAGTTGCTTTCATTGTCGAATTCATTATAATATTGATTGATTACAAAGAATTCAAAAATATTCAATAAATGAGAACAAAAAAAATGAAAGGTTACAACTCCCTCGAAAATAACGCAAGATCCGTTCGTCGTTTCTTGCTTGCGTGTGTCTTTAGCCGGTGACGGGGACATCGATATCCGTGGACTACCTGACAATCAGATCAGATCCAGAACTCCGTCGATTCGCGAAGGAATCTAGAAGCAGAAGCGCTTATCTCGACAACGGCGAGATAATTGCTCTGTCGATTCGCGAAGGAATCTAGAAGCAGAAGCGCTTATCTCGACAACGGCGAGATAATTGCTCTTCTTAGGATTACCATAACGGGATAATCCTAAGGAACGAATGCGGGTGATGCAGATCTGAAGAATCTCTCTCTTGCGTTGAAGAACTCGATCACTCTTTAGTCCGGCAGGGCTTCGCCAATTCTCTAAAATTCCAGATCTCAAAAAATGAGGGCCTGAGGCTGTATTTATAGGCTCAGGGGAGCTCGGGTGGAGACGCCCTTGCTCGGGTGGAGACAGTCCGTTTTACGCGCTTGTCCATTTCCTCTGTAACTTCTTCATCCGAACTCGGTTTGAGTGATTCAAAGTGCGTTGGAAAGCCGGCGAGGGGACCTATAAGCTCTGATGATGAGATCATTGTGGATTAAGCTGGGATAGGAGCGTCGTTTCGTCTTTTGTAAGTGACGCGGGACTCCCGTTCAGTTCGTGTCTTCGTTATTCTGAAATTCCGTTACTTCACGTAGTTCGTCGATTCACTTCAAGCGTTCATCGACGTCAATCAAGCTTCTGTGACTTGGATAGTGATGTTCCTCACCTCTTCGTAGCTTTGAGCTGCTCACGGAGACCTATAGGCAATTTTTGATGCCTACAGAATAACGGAATATGAGCTACGTGATGTTCCTCACCTCTTTAACACTTCCCCAAGCTTTGGTAAGGTCCTCTCTCCCTCATAACTTCAATTTGATTTCCCCTCTTTTGAATTTTTCAAAATCCAAAACCCTAGTTTGTTGATTTGGGGGAAAACTCAAATCTTCATTTTTTTTTGTTCTTGGAAGGTTGGCCGAAATTTGAAAGATGGGTTCTCTCATCTTTGATTGCAAAATATTTCTTTTATTTTCATGCATACATATGGCCGAATTTGGATGTGAATTGTGTGCAATATTTGAGGAAGTTTGAGGGGGGTTTTGGCTAAAATTTTGAGGGTTTTATGTGCAAAAAGTGGGCTAAAACAAGGCTGAAATTTGTGGGGGTTTATGTGCAAAAATAGGACTGAACTTTTGAGGGTTTATATGTAAAGATAGGACTGAACTTTTGGGGCTGAAAGTGCAAATATGGGCTGGAATTTGGGGGTGTTATGTGTAAAAATATGGCTAAAATTTGAGGGTGTTTTGTGCAAAATATGGGCTGAAATTTTGGAGGGTGTTATGTGTAAAAATATGGCTGAAATTTCCAAAGTTTAGACCACAAATCCATGACCAAAATTTTGAGAAGGGTATGCGGAAACTAGACCAAAATTTGTGGAGGGGTCTATTTACAAAATTGGCCAAATTTTACAGAAGGGTTTATTTGTAAAGTTAGCCAAAATTGTGAGATATTAGGTGAACAAACACAATGATCATGCTCCAATTTGAGCGTGTCCTTGACTAGAATTTAGCCTTGAACACGAGGGGTATTTTGGGTATTTCACCAAAAATTTATCATGAGGGTTTACACCGTAATATGAGCTCATTGTTTTGCATGCACAAAACTCATAGGTTTAATTAGACTTCAACTATAAAATCCTATTTATTTTATAGGATTTTAGTTAAAGTTCTTAATTTCCCTTTTAACCTTCGGGTGCTCAGATTTATGATTGTACCTGACCCGTCGATTTTCATTGCAGGTTCTCCATGTCTCCGCGCCGATCGCGATTTCATAAGAGTCGCTCCTTTTCACAGCATAACGAGAGGGAGGTTCCCGCGGCATCTTCCTCTGCGGCTTTCTCTTTTGGGGGTGAGCATGTGTGCTTTTTGTATCCCCGATTGATCCCTTCGCGGGTCATTCGGGAAGAACCGACATCCTCCTTCGCGGGGATCGAGGTTTCAGGAAATTCGTGGTTCTGCTATACCCTCGTTTGGCCCCTTCGCGGGTCTGGGTCATTCGGGAAGAACCGACATCCTCCTTCGCGGGGATCGAGGTTTCGGAAAATTCGTGGTTCTGCTATATCCTCGTTTGGCCCCTTCGCGGGTCATTCGGAAAGAGCCGACATCCTCCTTCGTAGGGATCGAGGTTTCAGGAAATTCGTGGTTCTGTTATATCCTCGTTTGGCCCCTTCGCGGGTCATTCGGGAAGAGCCGACATCCTCCGTGGGGATCGAGGTTTCAGCCCCTTCGCGGGTCATTCGGGAAGAGCCGACATCCTCCGTGGGGATCGAGGTTTCAGGAAATTCGTGGTTCTGCAATATCCTCGTTTGGCCCCTTCGCAGGTCATTCGGGAAGAGCCGACATCCTCCTTCGCGGGGATCGAGGTTTCAGGAAACTCGTGGTTCTTCTATATCCTCGTTTAGCCCCTTCGCGTCGGTGTACGTACTGTGATACGATAGACCCATAAAGTCGCGCCAAGCTTGTCATCCCAATCTCGTTTATTAGTTTTCACGAGTTTTGACAAAAGTTTTATGATTGTTTTATTGACCCGCGAAGGGGCCAAACGAGGATATAGCAGAACCACGAGTTTCCTCAAACCTCGATCCCCGCGAAGGAGGATGTCGGCTCTTCCCGAATGACCCGCGAATGGGCCAAACGAGGATATAACAGAACCACGAATTTCCTGAAACATCGATCCCTGCGAAGGAGGATGTCGACTCTTCCCGAATGACCCGCGAAGTAGCCAAACGAGGATATAGCAGAACCACGAGTTTCCTGAAACCTCGATCCCCGCGAAGGAGGATGTCGACTCT